TGGGAAGGGTTGGGATGTGGAGCGAGAGGAGAACATGGATTGGAATCCCTGTGGATTATAATGAAGCGCCTGCCGGGTGTTTTGTTTCGGAGTTCCTGCGTAGTCCCACAGTGTGGATGACGTGCGCACACGCTGCTCTGCTTTCCCAGACGGAGGAATATAAACAGTGATGGCAACTAACCTGGAGGAAGTTCCCGTGGCAAATAACATGGACAAAGTCCGACTGCGCACAACGCTCGAATGCTCCACCACACCTGTTGGTTTACGAGCAGAACGCCATACTTCCCTCCTTTTCTTTCTTGTACCCTGGCTCATGTCTCCTGACTGCAGTCGTCAGATATCTCACGCAAAATGTGGCACTACAACGTTGTAACCCCGTCACTGCCCAACTCAATATAATACGGTGTAACGAATAGGGACAAAGAACACCATACATGAATGTGTGCTAAAATGCAGGATTTAAACACAAGAACTTAGAATTTTGGTTTTTTTAATTATGAAATACCAATTGTATTTGTTACAGCATATCCACAAAATAATTATCTTAAAAATCTTAATAAAAACCTTCCAGAAATACCTACTATTTATTCTATAATGATGAAAAAAGTGATAATATAATGTTGAATGTGTAATTTATCATAATCAAATTGAGATTGGCTAACCTGAGTGACTACGTTCTGTAAATCTTTACTTGCCGGTCGCGGTGGTGTCCCTGTTGGCTCGAACCATCTGGAAGCCGGAAATGGTGATGTTGGAGTCCGGTATCTGGCATCTCAGGCATTATTTTAAACATCTTTTCACCGAATCTGAGGTAAGGTCCAGGGTTTTGGTCGCATTATGACAATGATCATTGATATCGACCATCAGAATCCAAAACCATTGGTTATTTCACATTCCACAAGTATATTAAAGAGACCAATATGAAACACATGCCAGAGACTGTTTGCACTGAATGACCAGGCAGAGCATCAGCTCGTCCCAGGGGATTTCTTAAAGGTCATCCTCACTGTAGTACTGTGTGACAAAGTGTATAGCTTTAGGTCACACCTCTTTTCTTTGCGAGGAGTTTAACTTTGGTGAACTTTGACTGGCAAAGTCACAGCCTCAACCGATAGCAAAGAAGGACCGTGTCTGTTCGCCTCAGCCGGCGATGGTCCACTCTGGGCTTACTGTAGCTGTATGCTCTCACTGCTGAGATGATTCAGCACCACACTGTATACTTGACTCAACCTGATTCGACTCTGATACCAGCTTTTGTACGTACATACTAACTGACCTCAAAGTGAACTGCAGCTTGTATGCCGAAGAGGCCGTGTACAGGCTTTGGGGGCTGGCCAGATTCATTCATGTAACAGAGTCAGTTTATCTTGAACTAGGCTTTAATGCGACAAACGTAAAAAACCTGTTTTACAAACTGCAAGAGTCAAATTTGCAACATAATAATAATGGTAAATCCACACAAGTATATCTGAGTTTGTAACAGGTCCTTATTTGATCTGCTTTGATCAGAGGATCATTATAAATTAGTAAAGAGGAGAAGATCACATGTCATTACCTTTTACTTTTCTCTCTTTGTGTTGTCAACACCTCAGCCCCATTCCTGCAAAAAAAAAAAAAATCTTGTCTCATATATTTCTATATGGAGGAGAAACGACAGCTCTGAAACAAAATGTCTGGAGATGACACCTAAATCTATCATGCTCCATGGTTTGCCATTGCTCCAGTGAACAGGCTTCACAATCCTGCTGTGAAGAAAACAGGCTGACACAGAAACTGCTGCAACGGCCAACACATGGCAGCATATCAGAGAAATCTACATCTGAGCTTCTGATTCTTTAAATTTGACTAAAGCAGGTAATTTAAATCAATTAATCATCTTTTGTTTATCAAATTGAATATTTTGAGACAATGAAAACTAAGATTTTATTGAATCACAAGCAATCTATATTAGATTAACCCTAACTCTAACTCTAACTCACCTCACTATTTACATTGAGTACCAGTGCAAGAAGATGTGTGTTTGGTTATAAAGCAAGACAGAAAGTAACGGTGTGGAGGTTGGTGTGGCAGATTGGTGTGCAACGCGTTGAGGCAGGAGACCAGAGTTTGCATGCTGTCACAGAGCTGAAGTCACCGTAGTCTCTCCTTTGTGCTTGGAAAAGGAGTGTAAATCGAAGGAGTTGGGATCTACTACCACATACTTTACTAAATCCTACAAACTGGACCTT